AGCGCCAGTTCGATCCCTGGCTGCTTCCCGGCCACCACAGGAGGGTCCCACATGGTGAGCAGACCTCTCCTGCTGCCCGCTGCTCCCCTCAGCAGTGTACTTCAGTCCTTCTACCTGCTCTGCTCCCCGCTCTGGCTCTGGTGAATTCTTTCACCCTCCCGCGCTTCTGACTGTACCCAGTGCTTGTATAAATACATAAATAAATCTTAAAAAAAAATTAGTAACCTTTAAAAAAAAAAACAGATCTAAGGAAAGTTCTAATTAATCTATGGGAAAGTCTATTTATAGAAAACGGTAAATAAAAACTCTTAAAATGTCAAAAGCATTCTAGCACTTTGTCATCAAAGTACACTGAAAAGGGAAAATATCCTCTACCCTACATATTCTGGAGAAAAAAAAAAAAGGCTTTAATTCCAGAAGAACTATACACTCACATTGGTAAGTTAGAGTATAATTTTTCATGTGGAATATTTAATAAAGTCAGTCATAACTAAGTAATGCGTTTTGCTACATTAATATTTATTATCTTAATAACTAAGTCATGCATTTTGCTACATTAATATTTATTATCTTAAAAATTGTGAATGCAACTAATTTTATTTAATTTTTTGCAACTAATTTTAAATGGAAAGTAGAAATTTACATCTCAGAGGTAACACCTTGGATGTCAATATAAAAAATTAAATTGCCTATCAGGAATATTAACAGGAAAAGCTAGATGAGACACATATCTACTGGTTGCACAGTAGATCCATTTTGTTTAAATCTGTTAAATAATATCAATAGGAGAGATACAGATTAAAATGTTTTCCTGATTTTCTTAAACTGATAGATTTGTTAAAACTGTAAATTAAACTGAGAAGAGCTTAGAATGTGAGCAAAATCTAAGCACATATGCATCAATGTGATTATGTGTGACTCAGTCACACTTAAAATTATTATGAGGACCTCCCTGGTGGCTCAGGGGATAAAGACACAGCGCTATCAAGCTATCGGCAGCCACTGTAGCATGAGTTCAATCCCTGACCAGGAAGCTAACTCACACAGCACAGCAGACCTCTCCTGTCTTGCCCACTGCTCCCCTCAGCAGTGTATTTCAGTAGATCGGCCTGTTCTTCCCACCCTGTCTCTTGTATGCATAAAGAAATAAATCTTTTAAAAAATATTATGAAATTACACACCTTTCGAAGGATTTTTGTTTTATAAAATTCAAGTAATCAGTATTTTATTTCTAGAATTCTGTGGGTGTCTTTAAGGCATTCAATTAACACTATGATATGCATTCTTTCCTAAAGAATTAAGATTGGTTCAGTATGAAATCACATAGGAAGAAATAGTAAATGCCTGTACCAACTACATAAACACTTTAAAAGTAAAATATCAACAAAGATGATAAAAGATTGTTCAATTGAATGAATGGAATGGTACAATATTCCCTGCATGTATAAACAGTATACCTCTGGGACTGTATCTCTCATATAAGTTAAAAAAATTCTCTGTTATTATCTATATTTTCCTTTTAAATAGCTAGCTTTCCTTTAAATTCCAGGTCCACTGGTCTTCTTATCACTTACTTATATTTTCTTTTTCCTCTAGTCAAAATGTGTTTCTCAATCAAGGGCTGGCTTCCCAACTTCACAGGCACTAATGGTATTCTCATCTCTCTCTGTTACAGAAAGCCATCAAGTAAGAGAAACAAACGGTGAACTTTTTTGATAGAAAAAGCAAGTGTCTTGATACCAGAAATACTAACATGATAGTATACCAATTTTCTCCCTTAAAACTGCATTTTAATTTGTGTTCTCTATAAATTTCACAATAACGACATGGAACTGGAACTCATATTTAGCCACAGGTTTTTCGTGCTAGCGATAGGATCAGGAATCCTCCGTTGTGTTGATTCATTATGAGGAAGAAAATAATCTCTGAAATATATTTGAAAGTGACTTTAAATTGTTAGCTATCTAAACATGTAAAGCAGAAAAGGTAAGTTAATGTTTTTCCCTCTTTTGACAATCGTTACCATCCAATTCACACATTCACAAATGTATTTATTCATTCATTCAGCAAAAATTTACTGATCGAATCTGTATTCTATCATATCGTGTGGGAATATTAATTATGCAAAATAATCATGGATGCAAGTCTATTTTAGTCACAATTAAAATCATTTTTTGAAGAATAACTTATAACCCACTATTATCTGGAATAGTAAAATAAGGGCTCTATATTCCCTTCCCAAATATTTGTACCTCTCCTTCCTTTGTATCCATAATCTCTGTGAGAAGTCAGAAAGGAATATTATAAACTTGCTGGAAAATGTCACTTCACTATGGTTATAGTGAAGTATTACAAGAATTTAACTTTTAGGGCCTCCCTTGGTGGCGCAGTGGTTGAGCACTGGTCTGCGAAGCTGCCCGCAGCCTCTGCAGTGCCAGTTGGATCCACCGGTTCCATCCCTGCCCGGCTGGCAAGGGTCCCACATGGTGCGCAGACCTCTCCTGCTGTGCCCACTGCTCACCTTCCTGCGCTTCTGACTGTACCCAGTGCTTGTATAAATAAACAAATCTTTAAAAAAAAAAAAAGAACTTAACTTTTATGAGTGGCATTACTCTCAAACATGGTTATTTACTTATTTCTAAGTATACTGACTTCTAAAACAATAAAACAAGCCGAATGGAATTTAAATGGTAGTGCACCTGTAAGCACATAAATGTTTCTGACATAATAATTAGCTCATCTTTCTTTTTTGTGAAATACCTCAATTAAAACACAAAATTAAGAGTTGTCAAGTCCTACATCAAATTAAAGAGCTTCTGCACAGCAAAAGAGACAATAACCAAAACAAAGAGAAACCCCACCGACAGGGAGAAAATTTTCGCACACACTAATGATAAAGGACTAATCACAAAAATCTACAAAGAGCTGATGAGACTCAACAAAAACAAAGAAAATAATCCAGTCAAAAAATGGGCAGAAGAGCTAAAAAGAAACTTCTCCAAAGAAATGCAAATGGCCAACAGGCATATGAAAAATGTTCAACATCACTTGTAATCAGGGAAATGCAAATCAAAACTACAATGAGATACTATCTTACACCAGTGAGAATGGCACATATTAAAAAAACTAGTAACAACAAATGTTGGCGAGGTTGTGGAGAAAAGGGAACTCTCCTGCACTGCTGGTGGGAGTGCAAACTGGTCCAACCACTATGGAGAGCTGTGTGGAGATTTCTTGATCTTCTAAACATAGAGCTTCCATATGATCCAGCAATTCCACTCCTAGGTATTTACCCAAATGACACAGAAACATTAATTCCAAAGGGCAACTGCACCCCTACATTTATAGCAGCACTACTTACAATAGCTAAGCTTTGGAAACAACCAAAATGCCCAAAAATGGATGACTGGATCAAGAGTATGTGGTATACATACACAATGGAATATTACTCAGCAATCAAAAAAAAAAAAAACAACTCATGCAGTTTGCAGCAACATGGATGGAGCTAGAAGGGATCATGCTCAGCGAAATAAGTCAGAAAGAAAAAGAAAAATACCGGATGGTCTCACTCATAGCAGGAATTTAGAAAACCTAAATAAGGGACCAGGAAAAAGACTAATTAATACAAAGTAAAAATCAAAATCAACAAGCAACTACAAACCAGAGACATACTACAGGGGGGCAGGAGGTGGGGGAGAGGAAGGACTAGGGTCAAAATAACGGGGGGTGCAATTGTATGGGGAATATAACCAAAATGAAAATGCGTACATTGTGCAAAATGAAAAATGATGTAAGAATTATATAAAATTAAATTAAATTAAAAAAAAGAGTTGTCAAGTCCTATACCCATAGTGTCACTTTCTTTCTATCAGTGCAAATAGGTATTCTCAGATGTGTTTATCATTTCTATGCACTTACAAATACTGAAGCTATCAGCTATGTCTTGGAGTGACATTCCCAAAAAAGACCATTTTGTCAAAATGGTATTCATGCATAGTACAGCCTAGCAGATAGGCTCTAGTTAACTAAATGGTATGTAATTCAAGATTGCATTCAAATGCCACCACAAAGCCTCCTCTGACTTCCTGTTCCCTGCCCAAACATTCTCTTACGTTCTCTTTCTCCCTCCTTTGAATATTCACTGCAATTTATTTTTGTATTTTTTAAGTTATCATAGTTTCCAGTCATCTATTTTAAGGGTATGAGTAAATGTCTCATCGCCCATGATATGAAGCTTATGTTATGTAAAACTCATCAGCAAGCAACTATAAACCAGAGACACATTGGGGGGTGGGGGGTGGATTAGGGTCAAAATAGGGGTTGAGAATTGTATGGGGAATATAACCAAGATGAAAATGCGGGCCTCCCCTGGTGGCGCAGCGGTTGAGCGCTGGGTTGTGAGGCTGCCTGTAGCCTCTGCAGCGCCAGTTTGAACCCCGGCCACCAGCAAGGGTCCAACAACAACAAAAAAAATTTTTATTTAATTAAAAAATTTAAAAAATATGAAAATGCATACATTCTGCAAAAATGAAAAATGTTGTAAAAATATATAAAAGAAAAAAATCAATAAAAAAGAAAAAAGAAAAAAACTTCTCATATTTTTCATTCCCACTTAAGGTATCAGAACGCCTTGCATATCCTCGTTGCTCAGAATAATTTTCTGAATGAAGACATATTTGCTATGTCACTCCCTAAGGAAATACCTAACAGGAATTGTTTAAAGATATCTCAGGTCACTTATCACATGTACCAGAAACTTTGGCTCTTTATTATGTTTAATTTTAGACCTTTGCACTGTATTATTTTTATTGTTCTTTAATACATTTGGGTTTCTGACCCTTGTTTCCCAAATATCCATAAGTTCTTTGAGGCCAAGAATAGCCTTCTAGTACTTTTTATTCCCAGAATTCTTAGCACAGGAGCCACTAAGTAGGAGTATTCAGTTCAACAGATTAACATCGCCAGAGGTTCATCTAAGGGATAAAACTTAGATGAGAGCTAGCAGCCCTCTCCTGATCAAGGGAATCAAACCCAATGAAATGAGCTTACCATGGCAATGACGTGTGTGTGCTGCCCTTTGCCATTCCAAATCTGAATACAGGATACAGGCAAATTCAGTCCTACCCCAGTGGTCAGATTTCTCAGGTCAGCAGCAGTGTATTCCCCTCGCAACAGCAAACTGTTATTATCAGAGCCAAGTCCCAGAGATGCCCGATAGAGATAGGTCTGGGAAAGTCTCTCAACTGTAGTGACATCTATTGTGGCTGATGTCATGCAAGGATTTGCAGTCACCTTCCTTCTACACCGCAGATCCTCTGGAGGGTGACAGCAGCTCTGAGAGCAACAACCTGGGCTCTGGATCAACTTGATACACACAAAGAAAAATAAGCATCCCAGAAATAAAACAGAAATACAGATCAGGGCAGTAAGTAAATACAGGTTCTGGGAGGAGAGGTGTCCTCCTGTTTCCCATGCATCTTCAAAGTCTGGAAGGACCTGCGGGGCAGAGTCGCTCAGCAGCACACCCAGTGTGACAGAAGAGGAAAGTGGTGGGTCTCCGCGGTCCTGGACCACTACCACCACTCTCTGTTTAACTGCATCTGTGGACAAAACTAATCTAGCAGTGCAGAGCTCTCCCATATGGGCTGAAATTCTGAACAGGCTGGAGTCAGATGCCTGAGAGATGTGGTAGGAGAGCCAAGCATTAGAGCCACTGTCTGCATCCTCTGCTACCACTTTTGTGACCAAGTGTCCAGTTCTGGCAGAACGAGGCACCATTTCCACTGGGATAGCGCCATTTCTGGGCAAGGGAAACAAGATGACTGGAGCATTGTCGTTTCTGTCTACTATGAACAAGTTCACGGTCACAGTTGCACTTCTTGGGGGAAGGCCACCATCGCGGGCTTCCACTTGGAAATGAAAGCCCCTGAGCCGCTCAAAGTCAAAGGAAGTTTTGGCAGTGATAGTCCCGCTGGATGACTCCACCCCCACCAAGCTGGAGGGCGCCACCCCTTCAGAGATACCGTCCAGCAGCTCATAGAAGACAAGGCCGTTCTTCCCCAGGTCCGGGTCCTGGGCAAACACTTGGCCTAAAGAGGCGCCAGGGCCGTTGTTTTCAGCCACAAAAAATTCCTGTTGCGGTTGGGAAAAGCTTGGTGTATTGTCATTGATATCAGCGATTGACACAGTCAGGGTCCTGAGGGTACTAAGAGGGGGTGAGCCACCATCGGAGGCCGTGATGGACACCTGGTAGGCGCTCACCTGCTCCCGGTCCAATGGGCCGTCAGTAAGCAAGCTGTAGTAGTTGTCAAAGGAAGCCTTCAGCTTAAAAGGGCCTCCGCTGGACAAGCTACAAATGACCTGACCATTGGGACCCAGGTCTTCATCCCTTACACTAAGGAAAGCAATCACGGTGCCAGGAGCGGCGTCCTCAGAAACTGGACTGGAAGGAGTCATGAAGATGACCTCGGGGGCATGATCGTTCACATCGGTCACTTCCACCAGGAGTTTGGCGGTGCTAGCTAGACCAAAGGCTCCTTCGTCCCTGGCTTCGATGTATGCCTCCAACAGCGATTCAGGTGGGCCCAGGGAAGCTGCCACTTGCACCTCCCCACTTCTAGGGTGCACGTGAAAGTGGCGTCGCAGCTCTGCTCGCGTGCTGTTGCTTAAGGAGTACCGGATTTCCCCGTTGGGGCCTTCATCCGGGTCAGAGGCCTGAACTCGGAACAACACGGTACCGTTGGGCGCGGTCTCTGGCACCTTGGTGCGGTATACTGTGTGCTCAAATACAGGCGCGTTATCATTGGTGTCCACCACGATGATGGTGACTTGCGTGTCCCCGGAGCGCGCGGGCCGCCCTCGATCCCAGGCCGTGAGCACTAACTGGTGGGTGGCTCGCTCCTCGCGATCCAGCGCTTTCTCCAATACCAACTCCGGGTATTCGCTGCCGTCGACCCGCGACCCCATGTCTAGGCGAAAGTGCTGGCTGGGGCTCAGGCGGTAGCTTAGCACCCCGTTGCTTCCCTCGTCGGCATCTTGGGCATTCGGGAGAGTAAAACGGGCCCCTCGCATCAAGAACTCGGGGATATACAGCTGCACATCGCTGCCAGGGAAGAGAGGTGAGTTGTCGTTGGTGTCCCGGACGTGGATGCGCACCTTGTGCAGCTCCAGCGGGTCCTGGAGCACCAGCTCATAGGTCAAGATGCAGGTAGCTCTGGCCCCGCACAGCAGCTCCCGGTCCGCCGGCTCCTGGACCACCAAGCTACCGCTGGCCAGGTCCACCCCAAAGTAGGGCTCGCTGTGACTGGAAAGGAAGCGAAAGTTGCGCAAGGACAGAGCAACTGCTGACAGCTTCAAGTCCGCGGCCACGTTGCCCACGGCTACGCCCCGCCGGGTTTCCTCCAACACCGAGTATTCGAGCTGTCCGGCGGCAGAGCCACAAGACACCCACAAACATAGTACCGCCACCCCCCAGCCCACCATCCTCCCTCTCGGCGTCCTCACTCCACCAGCGGCGACCCGGGATCATGCTCCGGATCACCGGAGAGCACCAGCCGCGGTAGAGAGCAGGCGGCGGGTGGCCGCGGCGCAGGCTGGGGGCGCAGACACCGCCGGCGTCCAGCTTCTCCAAAGCCGGAGCTGCCCGGCGCGGGCCGGCTGGGAGCCAGGCTCACAAACTGGGGGCTCAGCTGCCGTCTGGGAGAGCCGAGCCGGCTGGGTGCGGAGGAGCACAGCGCCGCCTAGGGGTGCAGAGGAAGGTGAGCCGCATGCGCGGCGGAGGCGCGGCCTCCCCAGCAGCCGGCATCGCGCCCCCCACCCGGATGCGCGCGGGGCGGAGCGAGGAAGCCGCGGGAGAGGCGGACGCAACTTCCCAGAAACCGCATTTCTTAGGACAACGCCCCGCGACCTCCCGGTTTAACCTCCACAGCCTTTGTCTGAAGACTGTAGCTGGGGCTGAGCTCTCTGGGGTCCCCTGGCCAATGTTAAGAACTTGGAGTCCGAACGCTCGGACCCACCGACCAGCTGCTGTGCGCGCGCAAGAGCAAGCTCGGGGGCAGGCGGTGAGGCGCGGCCCGGCTCTCGCGAACGACCACGCCTTCTAGGCTTAAGGAAACAGGAGCCGCAGACCAAGTGCTAGGGGACCTCGGTGGGTTGCCAGCCTGTCCGGGGAGGGAAAGTCTCTCCTGCACCTCCTTCTATAACAGGAGGTGCCAAGATTTTAGTACAGGTGACCAACGACGGGCAAACTAGAAGTCCCACGGAACTCTCGCTTTTCAAGGTGCCAAAGTGGTTGAGTGCAACGCTTACGGCTCTATAGAGACGTTCGCTTTTTGCGAACCAACAATCTCCCCGTCCCGGAGGCCCTGCTGAGAGTGCTTTGCAGTCGGCTTTTGCTGCTCTGGGTGACAGAGGCTGTTAGGAGCCCGCCGATATCAAGCACCAGAAACTCAGAAAGGTTGGCAGCTCGCCCCAAAACGGGACGGGCAGAAAAGTGGAGGGGAAAGCACGGACTCACTGAGATACTCTGCAGGACGACCAGAAAACTACTCTGTAAATTTACCTTTCGTGAATAGTTAGAAGACAGCAATGAGGAAGAGTAAGAACAGACTGATGCCCATACTTTCTCCAAATCCGTTTTTAAGCCGGTCTTCTGCACGGCAATCAGGACAGTTCTATCAAAAACACCTCTGAACAACAAGAAATACCTCCACATTCCACCTAGCACCCGACAACCAGCGGCACTCCCTGAGAGAGAGGGGAACTGAAAAAAAGTGTGACTAGAATCTCTGTTAAACACTAAATTGCTCACTAAAACCTCCCTTTAAAGACAGTTGTACAGTGTCCAAAACTCCACGAACCAAAATTTGAAAGACAAAAACTCAATACTGCTCGAGAATGGAAACTTTCAGGGCATTACATTTTAGCCAGAAAACTTCCTAAAAGTATTGATATTATTAAAGCTGACTGCTGGACACATGCGCTCAACTTGATGTTTGAGTATTTCTAAAATAATGTTTAATTGCTGATTAAAATGAAGTTAGGGGGTAATAGCATTCTGGTCATAAAACTAAAAGTGGAATTGGTAATGTCAGTGTGCTACTAAAAACCAGTAACCTTCCAGACACATCACAAGCCCGTACCTGGTCTCTTCTAGGGGCAGGCTGTAATATAAGGCTAACTAAATAGTAAAGACCTCTTTCCTTCTGAAGCAAGGAGCCAAAAGATCTTTCACATTAAGTGTCAGATAAGAGGAATCATGTCAGCCCCTAGGTTAGGTAGAATAAGTGTAGCCATCACCGGGTCTCTTCATTACGATGTGAAATAACCCATAAAATTAAATTTATTACATTTATTCTTCACTAAGTTTCAGAACCAAAACTAGGTATCTACTTTACAACCAGAGACTGGAATTCACATTTTCTTATTTCAATTTAATGCTGCTAACCAAGCTGTTTGGCAGTGGATATAGTTTTCACTTTTCTACTTGCAGCAGACAAAATACATCTGGAGAGATGTACTCATTTTTTAGAAGATTCCCTGACTTTTATACCTGCAATGAACCTTCCAGGAATTCTCAGCAGTATCTAGGAGGACAGTGTGGGTGGGAGTAGACCACGAAGTTATGAGAAGCAAAAACATACTGAGAATTAGCATAGAAAATCTTGATTAACAACTCTTTCCAATACACAGTTCTCAGACTTTTGGATTTTTTTTTTCATTCTCCTATTTAACTAACACTGATGTCTATTTTAAAGGATTTAACCTGTGTCAAAACTAAGTGGATGGCACTCACCTTCTTGGATTCATCCCACTTATATGCCTATCTAGAGACCTAACATTGCATTCTTACTCAAACTGGGATTTGGGGGAAAGCAATATTTAGGAAAGATCTGGAATATTCGGGTATCCCGAATATAAGAAGAAGGGTCTAGAGTTGTGCCTTTTGTATAAAGTGAACATTAAAATCATTAACAAAACTATTTAGCAGAACCTTGTTTATCATTTTATGGCATTTTCCCATAGTTTCTCCTAATTCAGGCATTTCAAGCTTATAATTAAAGGTGAGGACTTTAAGTAGACTCTATGCAAAAAACACTGTCTTGATTTTTGCTTGGTCTCTATTGCCAAGAGTATCACTATAAAGCTCTCCCACCAAACTTGGTGTTAAGTTGTAAATTTAAATGATTTCTAATCATCAAGCATAAACTGCTATTAAGAGATCTTGAAGTCAAACAAGAAAACAGTAAATCTGACACCCACCAAAGAGTTTGTCAGCAAAAGGATAATTACTTTAAACAAGATTTTCTTAGTGCATAGGACTATTTCCTGGTAATATAAGATGCACTTATGGAAACTAAATTACAAGACAAGACTTCATAATCATATAAGTCAATTTCCTTCTGTTAAATAGCTTAATGAAGTGTCCAAACAAAATTAATAAAGTGTGAGTTCTTTGAGGGCAGAGTTAGGTATATCACTCAATTTTGTTTCTTGACTTTTTAAGTAAGCTCTAAGCACATAAATTAAGTGTCTAAGAGCACTCTGGATGCATAAAATCTACTTAATTTTTTTTAAGTCGAATCCTTTACCAGTAACACATTACAGAATTTCTTTCTCAAGTTTCTGTTACCAAGGAACTTTTTCTCCCTTACATAATACTATATTAACTACCTTGAAACTTTATTCATGAATAGTCATTCTAATTAACTTTATGCAATTTACCACTTTTTGAATTTATGTACTAATGTTTCCAAAATTACCTCTTTAAAAGTCTTTTTCTACTTCACCTTCAAAATGTAGCCCTCAGAACTTACACTTGTCACTGGGTCTAGGTTGGTCAATCAGCTCCAAGAAGAGTCTAGCTCTCTATTCCAAATACCACGTATCAAATAATAGCATCTAAAATTGCATCTGAGACTCAACAAAAACAAAGTAAATAACCCAGTCAAAAAATGGGCAGAAGAGCTAAAAAGAAACTTCTCCAAAGAAGAAATGCAAATGGCCAACAGGCAAAGAAAAAATGTTCAACATCACTTGTAATCAGGGAAATACAAATCTAAACTACAATGAGATACCATCTTACACCAGTGAGAATGGCACATGTTTAAAAAAAAAAAAACTAGCAACAACAAATGCTGGCGAGGATGTGGAGAAAAAGGAACTCTCCTACACTGCTGGTGGGAGTGCAAACTGGTCCAACCACTATGGAAAGCTGTGCGGAGGTTCCTCAATCTGCTAAAAACGGAGCTTCCATATGATCCAGCAATTCCACTCCTAGGTATCTGCCCAAAAGACACAAAAACATTAATTCAAAAGGACACCTGCACCCCTATTTATTGCAGCACTATTTACAATAGGTAAGCTATGGAAACAACCCAAATGCCCAAAAATAGATGACTGGATCAAGAAGAAGTGGCACATATACACAATAGAATATTACACAGCAATCAAAAAAGATAAACTCATGCCATTTGCAGCAACATGGATGGGGCTGGAAGGGATCATGCTCAGTGAAATAAGCAGAAAGAAAAAGAAAAATACCGATGGTCTCACTTCTAGAGGAATGTAGAAGACCCATATAAGGGATTAGGAAAAAACTAATTATAATAAAGTAAAAATCAAAATCAACAGGCAACCATAAACCAGAGACATACTATAGGGGGTGAGAAGGGAACAGTATCAAAACAAGGGTGGTGGGAATTTTATGGGGACTATAACCAAGATGAAAATGCATACATTGTACAAAAATGAAAAAGATATAAAAATATATAAAATAATAAATAATAAAATAAATAAAATAAAATTGCATTTGATTTTTTTAATAGAGGCATTTTATTTATTTATTTATTTGTTTGTTTGTTTGTTTTGTTTATACATGCACTGGGTACAGTCAGAAGTGCAGGAGGGTGAGAGAATTCACCAGAGCCAGAGCGGGGAGCAGAGCAGGCAGAAGGACCGAAGTACACTGCTGAGGGGAGCAGCGGGCGGCAGGAGAGGTCTGCGCGCCATGTGGGACCCTCCTCGGGTGGCCGGGGAGCAGCCAGGGATCAAACCGGCCACAGGCAGCTTCGCAACCCAGCGCTCAACCACTGCGCCACTGGGGAGGCCCGCATCTGATCTTTTAACAGCTGTGCCACAAACTTTTTCCATGATGGATTAAAAACTAAAATATATGCCCTTTTTTGTAAAGGCTATTAAGCCACCCATCAAGAAGTCCTAGACTCTTTTTTTTTTTTTAATGAGATTATGTTTTTTTTTTAATTTTTTTTAATAGAGGCATGTTTATTTATTTATTTGTTTGTTTGTTTTGTTTGTTTGTTTGTTTTGTTTATACATGCACTGGGTACAGTCAGAAGCGCAGGAGGGTGAGAGAATTCACCAGAGCCAGAGCAGGGAGCAGAGCAGGCAGAAGGACCGAAGTACACTGCTGAGGGGCAGCGGGTGGCAGGAGAGGTCTGCGCGCCATGTGGGACCCTCCTCCG